AAAAGAGCAAATCCAAGATCACAAGACAATTAGACGTGTAAGAGATTTATTAGGGGGAAAAAAAACTGTGAAAGATAAAGGAGGAAAAGTAGGTGGGGAGAGCTTCAGGCCATAACATCTGTGAAAGGAGAGAGGGAAGGAAGTATTAAGAAGGAAGAGCTTCTGACTACAGCACAATTCTGAGAAAATGTTGGACAGGCCAGTGAGTGGTCTTTGAGACTGGGTGTCCTGTTAAAGAAATCCTATGTTGAGTAAAACGAATCCAGTACCAGTATCCCTGCTGTGCTGTTATGGGAATGTGGATTGGTGAATACTGCAGTAGATCCAAGGGGGCAGCAGGTGGATGCTATCTCAATCAGCTATACTCCCCACAGCATGTCCTCTTGAAGGGGAGTATGAGCCAGACACCTTCACAGCCCATCGCATGCATAGCATTTAGCTGTGATGTCTCTTTATCATCTTCAGTCACAAACAGTTTCTAATGTTTGTTTTTCATGACCTTGACAGTTTGTTGTTTGTTTTAGTACAGGCCAGTTAATTTGTAAAATGTCTCTCAATTTGACTAGTGTTTTCTTATTAGTTACGTATTTTTTGTCAGGGATATCGCAAAAATGGTGTTGTGTTCTTTTATCAGGGAGCACACACTGTCAATTTGTCATATTACTGGTAGAGTTAAATTTGATCAATAAATGAAGGTAATGGCTGCTAAGTTTCTCCACTATAAAGTTATTTTTTCTTTATAATTAATAATTATTCTCTGTTACTATCCAGTTTCTTGCTAAACTTTTACCTACTGTTTTGATGTCCATTGGTGATTCTTGCCTAAATCATTATTACTATGATGGTTACCAAATGATGACTTTCTAATTCCATCATTCCATCTACATTATTACTTGACATTACACTTCAAAGAAGCTCTCCTTTCTTGCTATTTATTCAACCATTCATGTATTTATATAGTATGGGCTCATGGATTTTTATGCTATTCAATAGTAATTTTATTCAATGCTCAACGTATAACAATTTAGTCTATTGGGAGCCACTTCAAGCTTGTTTGTATGTCTCTTTAACATATCTGTATTATTCTTCGAGAATTTTCTTGTTGCTTTCATCTCTGTATCGCAAGACTCAGCTCAGGGAGCCAGACCAACAGTCAGTGAGCAACCACGAACATTTCACGAAATGAGTAACTGCAGAAACCCTTTAGACAAAGCCAGTAGCATAGCTTTTGGGGGTTCAGGTTCATTTAGCAAGTTGGTATTCAATGCCTCTTCTGTTATTTATTCTTAGTGGTTCTTGAAGGCCTTTTTACTTTTCTCATAGTCTTATATTCCTGATTTTAAGCATTCTTAGCAAACTGGGAACCATAAACATTTCACGAAATGAGTAACTGCAGAAACCCTTTAGACAAAACCAGTAGCATAGCTTTTGGGGGTTCAGGTTCATTTAGCAAGTTGGTATTCAATGCCTCTTCTGTTATTTATTCTTAGTGGTTCTTGAAGGCCTTTTTACTTTTCTCATAGTCTTATATTCCTGATTTTAAGCATTCTTAGCAAACTGGGAATGGATATAGGTGTCTTTAACTTGATATATCAGAAATCTTCAGCAAAAAAAATACTTAATAGTGAAGGATTAGAATCATTCCCATTAAAATTAGAAAAGAGACCTTATTTTCAATATATTATTGATCACAGGCAGTGCAATGATATACAAAATAGAAATAAGTATATATACTAAAGAGAGAAAGACAAAAGTATCAATATGATCGTATACCTAGAAAATACAAAAGAAAAATTAAGCAATTAAGACTAACAAGAGTTTAGCAAGGTGACCAGCTACAAGAGTAAGAAAAACAATAAAAACAAAAAACTGGAGAAATTTTCAATCTCATTATAAACTAAATAAATGTGAATTAAAACGATGCCTAACAAATCATCATCAATTTTTAAAATTTAGTGGTATAATCTTTTAAAAAGAGATTTGGCAACAGGAACTAAAATAGGTCCATCCTTTGGCATTTGCTTAAACTCCATCCTAAGAAATATTCTAAGGCATATAAAAAGACAGATGTATACAGATGGTCATAGACTATTTTTATAGAAAAATCTGTAAAACATCTAATGCCCAGCAAGAGAGGGAATGAGTTAACCAAAGAATCATATATTGGCTTAAAGAAATACTGGATTTTATCATTAAAAGATCTTTAAAGTCTCTGTAATAACACTGAATGCGTATTAAATAAGTGAAAATCAAGACAAAATTTTTATGCTTGATGTAATGAGTACCTAAAAATGCAAGAAGTGCAGAATACTCAGGAATTCAGACTCTTGAGTTGAAAGGTTGTGACTTCAAATCCCAGGACTACCACTTCCTAGCTATATCACCTTGGCCAAATTATTTAATTTGCCTCAGTTTCCTCACTTGTAAAATAAATTTAGTAATAGTTCCTGACTCATAGGGTTGCTTATGAGAGCAAATGAGTTAATACCTGAAAAGCTCTGTGAATAGTGATGTCGATATAGTAAGCTGCCAATGTTAATATGAATGTAGCATAGTGCTAGTAGGCATTGTGCTAGGATGATAAGATTACGAGTGTTTTCTATTCTTTTTTCTAAATTTTCTATAGTGTTATTATATTTGTTTTATTGTAAAAATTGATTTTTTAATATTCAAAATGATTTTTAAGAGCCTTATTTCTAGTCAATGCTAATCTCTCTTCTTGCCTCTGATCCCAGTTCCACTCACTCCCTCCTTATCTAGGATCTGGTTCCACCCATTATCTCCTTTGTGGCATCTCAAACTCCTCTACTGATTCGCTAAATAAATAAAATAATTCCTGAATAGAATATTTACTTCCTTTTATTCATTGTCATATTTCTTAGAGGAAAAAATTTCATAATAGCTTTCTCCAATTCCAATTTCCTATTTGTTCTTCATTATATTGGAATTTGAACTCTACCTTCCTTACACCATTCTAACAATATTGCTGATTGTCTTACTGTCCAAAGCTAACTAATCTCTTTCCTATTTCCCTTATCAGAGATATTTTAACATTATTAGCCACTTTCTCCTGGACTTAGTTCCCTTGCTAAGACATTTAAAAGGAGGATGTGAGATGTAGGAGGAAGCAGAGGTTTTAGAATCGCCTGTGTTGGAAACCAGAAGCTATTATCCACTTGTGTGTGAGATCAGGTCTGAAGCCATAGACTGCAGAACCAATCCAGAAAGGAGAAGCAGGTGTGGTCAAGTGAAAGAGTGGCTGGAGAAATCCAGTAAGGGAACCAGAAAGCAAAATAGGTCAAGGACAAAAGAACACCCTGAGTCCCAAGGGGAACAAAAAAGTCTGTAGACACAGATAAAATTCTGCAGAATCTCTATGACTATTTCAGCTGAATTGTACTCTCAAATCTCAGTGTGCAGAATCTTTTATTCTCATAATACCTTAAGAATGTTTCCTTTATATTCCTCAATACTACCCTCTCAAACTTACCTTTCTTCTCTGACTGCTCCCTCCCTCATTTAATCATCCAGCCTTCCTTCCATTTATCAAATATATATTTACTGAATGAGCATTATATGCCAGGTATTGTGATATGCCAATAAAGCTACATGATAAATAAGATAAAATTCTTGTCCTCAAGAACTCACCTATTGACATTTCTTTCTCTGACCACCTCATAAATGTGTTACCCAAGGTTCTTGCTTAGCCTTTCTTCTCCCATCCCCACCTATGGCTCCAATGGTCTCACCTTACCAACTGTCTCCTTGGCTTCTTCATCCAATATCCTGCAGATATCTCAAACTCAGGATGGCCAACACCAGATTCATTTGCCATCAAAATGAAAGAGATCATTATCAACCTAGAAACTCCTAAATCATCCATCAACTTCTCTTTCAACACATAGATCCACAAATGGATGGCAATTCTTAACAATATCATTTCCTTTAAAAAAGCTCTCAAAACTGCATTCTCCTCTCTATTCTTTCCAACTCTACATTAATTTCAAGCCATCATTACTTTGGACTAGCCTTCTAACTTTTTCCTGTCACCAATATCTTTCCCTTCCAGTCCATCATTACTACTGATATCAGAATAATCTTTCTAAAAGAAAATTTTCTTTCTTTCCATATCGAGATCCACCACTCCTTCTATATCCACATTTTATCTCTGCGCTCTGGATCTTTAGGTGTCTTCCACATATTTTTTCTTCATCTCTTAACACCATGCTGACTAAACAGAATTGCTTCTATCTCCCACACACAAGAAGCTTTGGTCATGCTCTATATCTTTCTTTGCCCAAGATGCTCTAACTCTTTTTTCTATCTGACAAGTACTGACACCTTTCAAGATTAGCTTTAATGTTACTTGCTCTGTGAAGCCTTTCCCATCTCCTACAGAGCTCTCCAATCTTTCTACTGAGCTCCGTGCTTAGAGGTATACATTTATTATGGAAGAATCATGTTTGTTTTCTATTCATTTCAAAATTTATATAATATTTATTTTGTTATCTGTCTCCAAACACTGGAGTGAATGCATAAACCTAGAGAGTAGGAACCTTGTGTTCTTCCTTTCATATTGCCCTGTACCAGACATAATGGTTACCACAAGTCTGAAAGAATGAATAACTCACAGAATAAATAACGAATGGAAAAAAAATACATGAATATTAGGATACAACATGTATCTCAGTGCAGGGATTTAGAAAAATGCATATTGAGGAACAAAATAAAGGTCAAAGGAGAAAACAAGGAAAAATCAAGAGAAATCATTAGTGTGCACAGAAAACAAAGCTGACATCTAGAAAGCGCGGCAGAGAATCAGACAATACCAGACAAAGGAACAGTTGGAAAGAGTCCAATAGGACAATAAATATCAGAATCCCAATGAAATCTTTGCAATTTGACTCCACAAATCCAAACAAGTCTCATCAGTTTATAATCTCTAGAAAGACCTGGCTATATATAGTAGTTCATTAGGAAAGTATTAGAAAAAAACTTACACTTGGCCAACAAGGCATTCGATCAAAAAACTTCCCAGAGTATATAGGTCTGATTCGATCTGGGGGTTCCACTCCTGGTTCAATGTTTTCATCCTCCTTTTCTTCTTTAGGTTGTTGGGCAAACTGGTACTCAGGAGGTTCTATCACCAAGCCCATTTGGGGTTCTGTATCCTTCATTTCATCTGGCTCCTCTGCTTGGGGTAGCCCAATGTCCACCTGCACAGGAGGATTCATCTCTACACTGGGTTTCATCACCACACAAGTCGACTCTTTTTCCAGTTCCTGCTTGGGTTCCACACCCACAACTGGCTGCGTCTCCACTGAAGCCCCTAATCTTTCAGAGGCACCCGCCACAGGACCTCTCCTGCTCCCTAGAGCCTGTGGACTTTCACACACCATGCCCAAAGGAGGCCGTATTATCTTTCCAGAACATCCTGCCAGAAGACACTCATTTTCTAAGCCCACTCTTCCTGGCAGCATATCCAGTGAAGGTTTCGATTCCTGTGAGGATGAGACCCTGTTGACTCTTAAATTACTCCCCTCCATAAGGGTGCTAGAAATATTCTGTGTTTTTAATCTCATTTCAAGCTCTTTGCTCAATGGAGATTTTGTTTCTGGTGATGCCATCCTCTCTTCATATTTATTACTAACCAAGAGGCTCTCCTCCCAAGGGGGACTTCTTTTTCCTAATCCCACTCTGGGACCCCACTCCATGGGAGATTTTGTTCCTATGAAGACGCTCCTCTCTCCTAAATCATCCTTTCCTTCATGGGTGAATCCGACCTCCATGCTCAAGGGAGATTTCCTCTCAGACGCCCTCATTCCTCCAAGGGCATTCATCTTTAAGGGGAAAGCTGTACCTGGCTCGAGGGAAGTTCCCAATTCCTTGGGGGGCTCCAACCCATGGGGGGACCCCACTCTCACAAAAGAGCACATCTCCTCCACTTTCCACTGCTTTCTGCCTACCACTTAACACCCAGCGGAGTTCAGGAAAAAAAAGGAGATAGAGGTCTGTTTACACGGTTACCTAGGAAACGGGGGCGTGGCTTGGTGGGCAATTCTTTCACTGACGGATCCCCGCCCATCTCTCTTCCACTTTCTCCTGTCTCGGATTTCTCTCCCTCCTCCCTACTCTCTCCCTCTCCTTCTTTCTTTCCCTTTCACTTCGATTGTTCCCTTCTCTCTTCCTCCACCTTCTTTACTAGATTTGGAGGGCAAGAAAATTTAAAGGATGTGGTCTTGAACACTAGAGCAAACGCTTAACAACTTCTCTTTGGTTTCCCAAGCAATGCAGTCCCTTTCAGATGGGTTCAGCCATTCGTATCCTCCTGGCCATTGACCTGGTGATCAGGAAATAAACAACCCTTGTGCAAGTACATTCACATTGCATTTAGTTTTTTTTATTTTTTAAACACCTACAGCACCTGGTCTTCCTAGGTGGTCTCCTATCCAAGTACTAACCAGGCCCCACCCTGCTTAGCGCATTTAGTTTTTTTAGCGCTAAAGAACTATTTTAAATTCTGTAAAGTTATATTTGGCAGCTGTGGTATAGAGATCTCTTAGTCTTTGAGAACACACTTTAATAACTAGGATTTAAATAGCATTTAAAGTAAATATATTAAAGTTTGAGATGTGTTACACAATAATGTATATTGCATTTTTAAAATATTGTGGCAAATTCAAACTTTGTTTTTAAGTATGGAATTTTCTTCCAATTGGAGTTACATTCTGTCAGGTTTTGATAAAAGTGTATTTGGTGAATATTTGTCATGTTCTGCAGATATAGGGGACATAGAACATCTAGCTTAGAACTTGAAAAGAATCGATTGGATTCCCGTCTTTTTAAGAATTGCATGAAAAACTTGTAAAATCCAAAAATAATTTTAAGTGATTATGAGATAAAACTATGTACTGCAACTTTCTAGTTAATATAAATATTCTTCTCCCTCTAAGCACTTGAAATGAGTCAGTAATGTGTAAATCAAGGTATGATTGTATAAGTATTCATTCAGTTCTTTCATTTTATATCTATTGAGTCTCTTATGTTAGTTATGGGAATATAATGGAATATAAACCAATTCCTATTTCACAAAATTTATATTCTAGTGGGGATAAATCACCAAATGAATTAATAAATAAGGTCATTTCACATACTGACAACCGTTATGAAGAAAACAGAATGCTCTGATGTGGAGGGAAGCTACTTTAGAATTGGTGTGCTCAGAAGTCAACTGAAGTCAATTGGGCAATTGGTAGATAATATTTGAGCTGAGGCTTGCATGATGCCCTGCAAAGACACAGCTTTTTTAAATGACTGGCTCAAGTGTCTATAGCCTCTTTCTCACTGCCTTGCCACCATGCCTACAATTCCTTGTTAGAATTATCTTTTGGTTTGTCTCCAGACCAGCCCAGTTAAAAGTAAATGTTACCATTCATTACCACCTATGCAAATATTTATTCTTCAAATACACAATGGAGGAAAGATACCTTGGAAGAGAAGGTCGAAAATATGGCAAAAGATATGGGGTACTGTGATGACTGAGAGAGGTGTTGGAAATTTGTGAGTGGGTGTTTAGAGATTTAAGGGCAAAGCAACACTAAAGACAGTGTTCATATCTTTATGACTTTAAGGCCCATCCATATTGTAGCTTTTTTAAAAATTTATATCAACTAGTAGGATCCCACTAAAATGTAGGCAATTGAGTCCGAGCTGGAGTGGGCGGGGGGGCGGGGGGGGGGGGGGGGAGCCGCGGGGGGAGCCGCGGGAAACAGGTACATTATGAGTGGCAATATAAAAGCAAAGCTTTACTCCGCATTTCAATCTCACCAAAATTATTATTGGATCCTAGAAGTGTTAGCCACTGGAGCAGCACTCTCCCACACAAACATTACAACTAAACTATAAAATATTGTGGAATATATTTTTGAAGGTGAATTAAAAAAACAAAATTGGTAGAAAGAAATGAATGAAGAAGCAATATCCTAGCATGATGAAATGAATTCCTGGTAATTTATAACTATCAGTATCCATGTGCTATTTGTGAGCTCTTAAGTCAAATGTTCACCATTGAAATGTAAGTTCACAAGTATTTTGGAGGTCTCTATTATATCAATCAAAGGTCCTCTGTGAGGAATTGAAATGATGAATACAGTGTAAAGTATAAAGAATGGATTGAAAAGGCAAGAGTGTGCATGAATTCCAGTTTATGTACATACTATTATCGTCCAAGCATTGGGATTAGAATTTAGTTTGGGGGATTAGAGAATTGTTGGTGATAGAACAATGGTTTATGAGGGAAAGAAGGAAGAGTTGTAGATGATTCCACGATTCAAGTCCAGGTGATTAGGAGGCTATTAATACTAGTCACCAAAATGAAGCAGGTTTGAGGTGGTATTGGTTTAGTTGTGTTCATACTGTTGACATACCAAAACTGATGTGACATATCCTATTTCCTGATTCTCCTAGGGATTGTCCAAGAGGTATAATTATGACTAACATATCACATTGGAACAACCCCATGGGGATAAAGTGCCACAGATACCATTTACGTATGACACATTATGCTCATCTGGTTAGTAAGTGGGAAGTCGATCCGAAAGACTGGCTGTTCAAGAGTTCAAATCATCTTCGTTGCATAACATTGACTGAGCAACCACAGACTATTTTACCCCATGTACACATCATAGACAATCAATATTGATGTCCTCACAACAGTGCTATAATGGTAAACTATATACTGGAAAGTAGCCATTATCCTGAGGGAAAATCAATTAACTTTTTACCAAATTACAAATTTGTTTTGTTTTGTTTCAGATGCTTGGCCAAATACTCTCTTGTGTGAGATTTATTCAAAGCAGCCTGTTTTATGCAGGTCTGCAGTGGAGGGTAATAAATGTTTTAGGTTCTTTCACTGGAATCCACCTTGAAAATTCAGGTTCTGGGGCCAGCCTGCAGATTAAAATACGATTTCATCGCCAACTCCGCGGTTATTTTGGACAAGTTACACAATCTCTGTTCCTCAAATTCTTTAACTGTGAAACTGCACGCCTCATTCATTAATCCCATAAACATGACTGAAGACTTCTAGCTGCCAGGCACTGTGCTAGACAGCGGCGAAGACCACTTCGGATAACTCTCGCCCAGAGTTTAGCACGGTAACTCAGGAAGGGAAACTGAATAAAGCTATTATTTTAGGATTTGCCCCACCCCACCAAAACAGTAAACTCTCAATAAAAGCAAGTTATTAAGATTTCCTGCCTAAAGATGTCTTATCCTCCTCCCTGGAGTCAATACCAGTTACTGCCTTTATCGATCCACCCAGCCCCAAGGACATCCTGCTAGACAGTCCCCTCAAGCCCCATAGCCGGGTGGCCGGAGTTGGGACGTTGCAGTATAGGATAAAGGAGACCGTGAGCAAATATTCCCAGCGGAAACTTCGCCGCCGCGCAAAGGCCGGGTGCGACAAACACGGGTCCTCTCAGGGTTCCCCGAAAGCCGCGCGGTAATGGAGCTTTCCCCGCCCCCGGCTGCAGGGAACCCAAGACCGCCGCCCAGATAACAATGGCGCGGGCGAGGGAGGCGGTGGAATTGCAGGGGTCACATGACACACCTCACCGGCCCCGCGACCAGCTCTGACGCGGAGAGCTTTGAGAGGGGGCAGGGGAGCGGATGGAGCGGTCAGGCTGGCGACGACGGGAAGTGACGACGGGGCGTAGTTCCCTACGTGCAGCGACGTGGCGGCGAGGCCGGCGTCGGCCGGCGGAAGTGGCTCCCGCGCTGGGACTTGTGTGTTTGTGTTTTGGTTCGCGAAGGAGCCCGCGGCCGGCCTGAGGGGAGGAGGCAGAGGCGGGAGGAGGAGGGAGAATTAGTGGGAACTCGAGTGGCGGCGGCGGAGGAGGAGGAGGGGAGAAAGGGCAGAGGAAGGCGGAGCGGAGAGAGGCGGAGACGGAGCCCGACGGGGGTGGCACCACGGCACGAGCCCCGCACCGTCCAGTCTGAGGGGAGCGGCGCGAGGAGGAGACGTGCCGCCGCCAAAGCCACAGCCTTCCCACTGGCTACGCCTGGGACCTGCAGCCACTAAGCTTCCGCCCCGCGGCTCCGCGTGCTGTGGTCTCAGGTAACCAAACCGTCTCGCCCCCTGCCTGGGGCGGGCCAGGACCCCAGGTTATCCGCGGTCTCCGGTCTGCCCGGCATTGAGTCCCCCGCCTCTTCTCCCTCACGCGCGGGAGTGTCCTGGACCGGAGAGCTGTCGAACGCGGCGTCTCGTCCTGCCGGCCCCGGTGACTCATCCTTCTAGAGGCTTCGGAGACCAGGATTTGTAGACTGGCTAAGGGAGCGACGGGTGTCACCCTCTTCCCTTCCCAAGATGGCGCCGTGAGAGAGTATAAGAGGCCGCGGTTCCGCCTGGCCCCTGCCCTGGCAGGCTTGGAGGGAGGGGGTTTCTCAGCCAAAGCCAGGCCAGATTCAAGGGAAGAGGACGGGAAAGATGGCCAAGTGGACTCGAGGGTCCCGCTTGTTTGGGCGATCTGGAGTTCGGTATTAGTTATTCAGGTGCTCTCCATGGGGGAACTGGGGCCTACAGCAGGTGTGAATTTGGGAGCTCCGCCTACCTTCGACTTCCAAAGACGGGTAATGGAGGGAGGAAGGAGGCTCGTCAAGGTAGGCTGTCTAGAGACCCTTGTCTCAACTAAGGAGAGTGGTGAACCGCAGCTTTAAAGAACTCTAGACAACTATGCTGTTAAAGACGCTCAGTGGGTAGATGTCATTAAACCTGCTCTCAGCTGTTCTCTTCCGTGGAAGCTGGTTAGCCCTGAGGATTTTAGACTTTTTAAGCTCCAAA